CCATTGCTTCTCAGAGAGAGTGGGAGAGAAGCATCGATGTGAGAGACACATCGATTGGCTGTCTCCCACACCAGCCCTAACTGGGGCTGGGGATTGAACCTGCAACCAAGGTATATCCGTTGGCCAGAATTGAACCCGGGACCCTTCAGTCCACAGGCCGATACTCTAACCATTGAGCCAGACCGGCCACGGCAGGATTCTTCTTGGTGTCCTTTTGTTTTGGGGCTGAGGATCCTCCTCTACTCCAGGGGCACCTCTCAGAGGGTTTTATGACCTGGCTGAGGAAAGAAGAGAGAGGGAAGGAAGGAAGAAGTCAGAGTGACTTTCTTGTTTCTGCCTTTTTCTCAAACTTCTTCAGGTAAAAGTAATATGCCAAGGTGCTATATTTGGGGTGTGTCCTGAACTCCATCATGAGTATTAATGGCAAGGAATGAGAAGTATCTTTATATGTTTTCCTTTTCAGTTGAGAAGGGAGAGCATCTAGAAAATTAATTTAATTAACAATTTTTTTTGACATCTATTTGCCACGGATGATAACATGTCCCTCTTCTACATTCATCTTCTAGCTTCAATTTTCTCCACTCAAAATTGAGAGGCTTGGATAATTTTAAAGTCCTTTTTTGCTTTAAATATCTAAGGGCCTATAAATCCCCTTTATCTTCATTTCATTTTCTCCCAACTAGACCTTAAAGTGGCATATAGAATGGTGGTGGGATGGGTGTGGGATGTGCATGGTGGTTTACATCCCGAATTGGTGGTGGTTAAAGGTTTTGATTTCTTTCCCCCCCTACTTCATCCTACCTATATTTGCATAAAAATGTGATCACCCATGCTTACTTACTAGGTTACTTGTAAATAGACACATTCCAATGATAATAACACCTCCAGGGTTAGACCACCTCTGCCTTCACAATTAATTCATTGCACAATGCTGGGCTTAGAAGAGAAGCTTGAAGAATGCTCATTCAATGCTCAGTTGATATACAAAATCACATTAGCCTACTTTCTATTCTATTTGCTTTAGTAGCTTCCAAACAGTTAATTTCCTTTCAAATCCTGATCTTTCGTTATTTAGGTAAGTTTGCAGGGGGAGGGTTCAATATCCACTCACCAGATAGAATGCATTTCCTTTTCACCTATTTAGGCTAATGCCTTTCAGTGTTATGCAGAGTAAAGAAATTATTTAGCCTCCATTCACAAGAGCTATTTGGTTTGAAAAAGAAAAGAGTGATTCCCGCAGGATCATTAAATGAAAATGAGAAAGTTTAGCAACAAAAAAAAGTCAGTTGTGAATTTTCTAGGAGTCACAAATTCATTTGCTCTGTTTAGATTGAGATGAGCAATTCCGTACCTGGTCCCAAGTTGATTAGGTCCGCAACAATGATTTTCTTATGAATAGAGGTTTTCTACTACTTCACTTTACTCTTGATACATTTCTTTTTTATCCTGAATTTTTCTTTGGGAAATTGCTTAGACCTATAACCCAGGAAGACTCCTGTGTCTTGGAGAATAATGAACTTGAAAAGAATTACTGTGAAATACAGGGTGAAGTCTCTGTATAAGTTAAACTACTGGCCCATACTCAATAAAGCATACTCTGTGATAGAGTATTCCTAGGCTAGGTTTATATTAGACAGTCAACAAAATTATACATCATCACTATCTTATCCCCTAACACCACCTAAACCTGTAACTTTTAGTAGCTATAAGGACTGATAATCCAGGAAATACAAAAAAAATCTTTAAAAGTGGGATGTAACTTAATCAACTGGTAGTGGTTCTGCACCACCTCTAATGGGGCTGAAGTGGCCAGGTACCCACTAGGTACACAAGTTCCATAGGCTATTGGGAAAAATATACTCTTGGCATCTGGACTCCTTATTCTTGGAATATATTACAGGCCTTTTGTAGACACGTAACAGCTGTAATTCGCCCACGGAACCCATGAAAGCAAATGAATAATGTTTCTTGACCTGAATGTCATATAATTTGAAAATTATCTATAGGTACAACTTTTTCATTGGTGCTAGGATATTCAGCTTAGGTTCAGTATATCCATTCTAAGCCTTCATAAGAAAGCTTTCAACTTTGCCATGCCACAAATCTAGGTTTGAATTAAATGACTAATGCTTTAGTTTTACCACTAGTTCTCTGCCAAAATCTTTTCAATTCATCCTCAGCCAAAGCCTGTCATCCATCCTGGCAACATACCCTTTTCACCTCCTTACACCTCACGTCTGTGCTTTTCCAGCCCTTTGGCTGCCCTCCGGTTTCTTCCCTCGCATTCTTGTCTGACTGGTTCCTTGAAGCCTGGCAGAGATTCTTCTCTGACACAAATCTGGCTACTGCTAATTAAGAGTCCAAACACTCCTCTCAATGCAAATCTAAACGGATCTAACTTATAAACAAAGAACAAAGAGAACACTTCTAGATCTTTTGTAAAAACAAACCATGCGTTGGCTTTTAAAGGAGCGAATAAAGAGTGGGTTGACAAAGAAAATAAGTGGATAGAACAGAGGTTAGGAGAAGAGGTAAAAATAGTTCCTGGACTACGATCACAACAGAGAAAACCTCAGCCTAGTGAGGACTCCACCAGGTGTCCCCGGCCGCTCCCGCACAGGTCAACGGGGCCGTTCTTTGCTTTGTGCGCTCTCGTCGTCCGGGCTCCCAGAACAGTGAGTGGCACGGAGTAAGTGCTCTGTAGATATTTGCTAAATGTTCAAAGTTGACGAGAATTAAAAACTGGCAAATGGCAAAGGCTACAGCCTTGTCAAATGCTTAGTGTCCCCCAATACTGCCCCATTGTTCTACTCTTTATAGTCCTGCCTTCTCCCTCGTTTTTCGTCGTTCTCTTTCACATGCACATTTAAAGCCAAGAACACACAAGTTCCCTGAAGTTACAGGCTGAAACGTGCTATTCACAGCGGGTCGGGCGAGGCCGCCGCCCTCCCGGTGCGGCCGCGAGCGTCCTTCCCGCCGCGGCGGAGCGAGGGCGAGCGAACAATCCCCGCTCCCTCCCGCCCCCGGGCCGCTCTCCCGCGCTCTCCCTTCCGGCCGCTGCTCCCTTTCCAGCCCACCGTTTCTCTGGGGTCGCTGCTCTGCTGTCTCCCTCTCTGCCTGTTGGCCCCTTCGGTTCTTTCTTTCTCTCCCTTATTCCCAGAAGCTCCAGAAAAATACCTTCTTTCTCCCCTTCTCACGTCACTTCCCTCCCTTCTCCCATCTCCCTCTCCTTGTCTGCGAGAGGTGAGTCCCCCACTAGAGGCCAGCACTCGCTCAGCTCCGTCCCTTCCACCGCCGCGCCGAACTCGGAGAG